CCGTCACATTATAACGTCCCACGGCTGAAAGGGCGAGCATGTTTGGTGGGACGGGGATTCGAACCCGCGACCCTCAGATTGCGAGTCGAGCGCCTTATCCACCTGGCCATGCCGGGCCGGCAGAGTTATACCTTGGTCCATTACGCCCTTTTCATTTTTTATTATTTAGGCTTTTTTACGGATTTTTTATGGGGTCAAAAGTATAACAGCCCCAAAATGTATAATTTGGGCTCCTGTGCGGTCATATTTACAACAATCAAAATGAAAGTTAGTTAGCACAAATATATATTTTCCTGCGCCAAACACAATGACATACAAAAATGTTGGATCTGCTCATTTTGAGTCTTTTTTTTAGCGAGTTAGGTCTCACAAAAAAGCATAATTTTGTGGTTTTTTTGGTCAGTTACTCGGCCGTATTTTGACCAATTTACATGGAATTTGGTGCAAAGATGCTTTTCTGCAGGTCCCACACCTTGACAAACAAATATGGTAGACTTACCCATTTTTAGTAATTATAGAGGAGTCAAGATGTCACAAAAAGCACAATGTTAGGGTTCTTTTGACAATTGCTCCGCCGTATTTCAATTTACCCAGGATTTGGTACAAAAATACTTTTTTTTACAAGTCCCATACATAATGTGGAATATGCCCATTTTTGATCAATTTACATGGAATTTGGTACAAAGATATTTTTCTGCGGGCAACATACATTAACAAACACAAATGTTGGACTTGCCCATGTTTTAGTAATTACTGAGGAGTTAAGATGCCACAAAAAGCATAATTTCAGGGTTTTTTTTGACAATTACTTAGCTGTATGTCGTCCAATTTACATGAGATTCGGTACAAAGATACTTTTTTACAGGTCTCAAAAAAGAGATATAAACAATTTTGGAATTTGTGTCGTTTGCTCAATTTCTCAGCGAGGAAAGCAAATTTGAAGTTTTAATGAACTATTCATGCGTATGTCAACGAACTTACATGGGATTTGGTACAAAGATACCTTCTTGCAGGCCTCAAGCAGTGATGTAGACGGCTTTCGATTTGACTGTGTTTTTCACGATCTTTCTGGTGTCAAAATTGGCTATGTTGGGACTGGGCGGAGACATATTGCATTCGTCCACGAATGTTGGACTCTTTTATTTAATTCATATAGTGTTACGAGTCGTTGTCGAACAAGCATTTATTTTTGTGAGTTACAATACCACAACTTGTATTTGGTTTATTGGTACCTTTATCAATAAAGTATTTGTTTTGCTTGTCTTGACACCTAGTATTGTTTCTTACAATTAATGGCAACAGATCACTATACTTGTCCTGTGTACTAGACCCTCAAGCCTTTTAATATTGCGGCGATAGGTCACTGTTTTTTTGTTTTTTTTTTATTGTGAGTCTTGGAATAACAATCTTATTAACACAGTCTAGACCCTGCATTGGAATTGCAGCATAAAAACGTCATATTTTAAGATACGTGTTTTCATTCAACTTTTCACTTTTGTACCAAATAAATATACACTACTGTACCTACTAATTTAACGAGTTTAAACTTAAGATGGATTTAAGTAATCCGACATCAGTCATTTTCTAACGTCAGATGTGAGAGTAATATTGTTATAGGCTGCGTTTTTAATGTCGACGTTTGGATCGTTATTTGTCCAGAGGTTGGTTTGACGTCGCATGCTGAACGTTTGTTTGTTTCTTTGAAGTTAAGCACAAAGCTACACAATGGACTATCTGTGCTCTGCCCACCACGGGTATCGAAACCCGGTTTCCAGCGTTGAAAATCCGCAGACATACAGCTGTGCCATTGGGGGGTGGGCATGGTGAACGAGTCTGGTATTTTTCCTCAAAACTTTAGAATAGTCTGAGACAGATAGAAAGAGCAATTTAGGCTAGAGTTAGTGAGCGAATTTGATAACCAATAAACAGTAAATTATTGGGTCAGTTTGTCTGTTGATGCCAGTTAGTTCAGTCGAATAAAGTTTAGTTTATATTTGCACACAAAAGTACGAAAGATACCAATTAGTAACTAAGTGGAATTTCATTTTAGACGTCGTTTATTTACGATGTTAGGCCTGTAGTTATTTACATAAAACCACAGAACTCGTACAAATTGTACAACTTGTAGTTTATCATTAAATACTTTACATTTCTCGTTTTACCGAATAATTCGAAAGAATTTCCAACAACAGAAATCTTTAAAACAATGTATATACATGTGTGTGTGTGTGTGTGTATTTCCCTTTAAATGACATTTTAATTTGCAAAACGTACAGCTTACTTTTCAAGATCTCACATCTCATTGCCTTGTTATGTCTAAAAGAGAAAACAATGGTTTGATACATTTCAGTGAGTAGTGTTGAAATCCGGGTCTTTATCATTACGCACTTATGTGTATTTTATATTTTAGGGAAATGAAAATGCCAATCTGAACGTAATGTGTGTGCACTACAACTCTGAATTTAGACATTTTTGTGACATGACACTATTAATATCTTAGTTTGAATGTACAAAGTAACGTTATCATTTACTTCATAAGTATTATATAATGAAAATAAAAACCACGAACTGCTATCTTCAGTATATGTTGTTTAAAGTTCAATAAAGCTGCCTCTGGCCAATTCTGATGCTTACTGAATAGAATAAAAACTTCGTGAGCTGGAAGATAGCGAAATATTTTACTAATACGTGGAAAGTAGGCCTAATACTACATTTCCATATCTACAACTAGATATACTTCCGCAGGGTCCCTGAAAGTGCTCTGTCCCAATAGTAAATAAAACCAAAATTAAGAGTAACAAATATTTTTATTTCTTGCTTTTGAAGTCCATATGTCATGCTGTGTTGTGGCCTACAGAGTGCATAATTCTTCTCGTGATTCATGGCATGCGCACGTTTTACTGACGTCACGACAGTACAAATTGCAACGTTAAGCGTTCCTTGTGTGACGTCATTTTAGTGTCTACTGGCTGACTGATTGACAGACAACACACTACTGTATTGTGGTAGAAGTGTTTTAAACAGGTGACCCCAACAGATGGTCTTCGGCCCCCTTTCAAAGAAATCAACAGTGTTAAGGCAAGTCATTGTCAAAAAACTCTTTTTGGTAGCAATTAAATCCAAGCAAAATTTGTTGAAATCCCTGTTTGTGAATGACCGGGGCAGAAAATGTGTGAAGGGCTTGCTAAAAATAATGTGCCTAAACCTTCACCAGTTCGCTAAGTACTTTGACATAAAGAAATCATCAAGGAACAACATAAAGTATCGAATGAAAAATTGTGTTACAAAAAGTAACTGTTAAAGAGCTTTCTCAGTCAAAAATATTATATTTTTCTTAAATGTGGTGTCCCATAACTATACGAAAGAAAGTAAAAATGTTTTGTTAAATTCACTGTATTGTTACTTTGAAAGCCGACTTTTACCTTATACAATAATAAGATAAAATAAGCTGATTTTGAGCATAACTTAAGTCGTATTCTTACAAATTGGTTGCTATTTATTTTCCAGGCTCTCAATATTCTTGGAACTGTAATGCCGACTTTTTGGTCGAATTGGCACGAGAACGTAATTCTGTGGCTTAGATTAGGGGAAAGTTTAATCGTCCCTCTGCTCTTTTATCTGACGGATTCCCCTCATCGTGCAGCTTTGAGGCGTGCGTTCCAACGAAGAAGTGGCAAGTTCTCAGACTTTGGAGGTATCTTTCTAAATGGTGGAACAGTGTTTAGATATTTTTGGTGTATTTCTTTCTCTTAATAAAAATACCTCGCTAACAGCTTAAAATACCTTTATACCAATTATTATACTAATAGTAAGTAAAACTAAATATTAATTTACAACTTATATTATTCGTCTGACACTAACAGTTAATTCTTACACTATAGTTTACTTACGTGTAACTGTATTTATCCAACAGTACTGCTACTCCATACGTATTTAAAGTGTGGTACTTGTTTGGATCTATCTTTTTATAATCTTTGGTACTCTTATACATATTTTTTATCAATATTTTGTTTATGTACTTCCCCAAAATGTCGCGAGAGTGATTTTGTTACATTAAATAAGGTTCTCAGCTGTTAGGACAAAACAAAGGATTTAAGGCAGAAATGGAAAATTTGATACTAAAGCAATAATCAGGAGAATTTTAGCACTGGCACATGAGGCCCGTGCCCTGAATCCGCAGTTGGTGTCTTGAAAAATCAGAATAGAAAAAATCATGATCAATATCATACTGAAACGTTGAAAATTCCCGTGCCTATGGTCCCGAGCCCCGAATCTTTAAAGCGTCTAGCGACGTCTCTGAATTTTAGAAAAACAAAATTGTACATTTTTGTTCCAATTATGGCGGCCTTTGGATACAAAATTATTATACATGCAGTGTTTATTATACGTATAATTTGTATATTTATACAAAAATATAGTCCTAAAATATCTAAATTATCATTCTGGTATATCTGATCAGTGTAGAACAGATCAATTGAACAAATGGGGGGAAAGAGTGCCTATGAAGGGGTAATTATCACATTTAGGTCAGAAAAAAATGCTTTAAGGTTAGGGAATTTTGTTTAGTCTTATGACTTGGAACATTTTAATAACAAGTGTGCAAGAATGTGTTGACAACTGTCTTTGGGAAGGAGTTTACATCTACTTGGCACCAATAGACAATTATTAAATTATTTCCTAGGGACAAAGTCCTCTAATGATACTAGTTCTCCTTAGCAATTTTGTCATCTGGTATCCATATTATAAAAAAAAAAACAATTACAAAATTAATCATTACCATGGAAACAAACAGCCACTCAAACACGGCAGTTAACTTATATAAGGATTAATTAGAAATAATTTGCAAAATTAAGTTTTAAACGCTACATGCACGAGTTAATTTAATGTATTATGTAAGCTTAGTTTTTCTGTTAGTTTTCGCTTTCGTGTTCGTTTTTTTTTTTTTCACTAACAGCTAAATACATGTAAGTTATTTAATTTACTGGTGTAGTTAATCTGAAAGCCTAATTTTTATAACTATCTAATTTTTCAAAGAGGTCTTAAGATTTCTAAAATATAGGTGGCTACCACTTTGCTTTGTGTCAGTGACGAGCACTATTATGTAAGAAAAACCTAAAGACAGTAGAAAGTATAACGTAATATTTTATTTCTTTTCAGACAACGGCCGCTATCGAATGTATATAGAAGACGCCTTAGAAGGACAGATGAAGCCTAGTCCGTTTGGATCCGTCACCCCTATTGGAATCATCACAAACTATCGGAGAAAAGAAAAACGTGAGCAGAAACATTCACAGAAAAGAAACTGTTCGAACACAGGATCAAAGCGATATATATTAACCAGTATCTACGGGATCGACACCATATTGAACCCCAGCCATTTTAAAAACAATTTGAAGACAGTGGTACAAACCAAACCTCAGCCAGAGAAGCATGATGCCTGTTCTATAACGAAACATGGAAACATGCAGATGGACATAGGTACATGGAGAGATGATGAAACCCATATTTATGCTAGTCTATCTGACAGCTTTAGCAATCTAAGTTACCAATCAAGTTTACCTGACGGAAGTGTCTTTGGCCTCAGTTTTACAGAAGCTGAGGAACAAACTTATGATGGTTCTTTCACGACAATTGCCAACGACGATTTTGAGTTTCATGATACACGCCTTGGAGTCATCGATCTATTGATGCATGCAAATGACACCAATTTTAAACCTGAATCTGTGCCAAAACTTTCAGAATCAGCGTTAGAAGAAGAAACCTACAAATCTCTTGAAAACGAAATTCAACTGAGTGAAAATAACAATTCGTTGGAAACGGTTCAAGACTTGGTGATTCGCATTGATTCTCTTAATGATTCTTTTTGTGGGAAAAGTAATTTTGAGTTTGAAAATACTTCGGAGAAGACAAGACATCAACCTAATGATACTATCCCATTTCACATGTACCGAGTTAGCACCGAAGAACTGTGTAAGAGTGCTTTACCCCGTTCTGGAAACAGTTGGTTTTCGATGAATGATCTTGACCGTATTGGTGACAAGAATGACTGGACAAACTGCGAGTCGGAGGAGGCCATGTTTGTTGTTCCTGAAAAGAGTGAGTCCATGGTGTCGCTATATGAGGTCCCTAGGACTTGTGATCAGGCTAAAGCAAAATCAGTAAGTGAATCAAATCTTTTCTGTGAAAAAGATTCAGCTGAGATCCACCCCAAAAGTTCTTCACAAGAGGAAAACTTCAGTAGTGAAGGAAGACTTTTGGAGGCTTTATGGAAAAACAACAGGTCTTCGCTGGTCCTTGGACGAGGTAGCCACGTAAGAAAGGCCAAGAAACGAAAAACAAAAAATAAACAAAAATATGGTGACAGGAGTTCTTCACGGAAGCCTTTAGAAGAATTAGGGCCTGATCTAAATGGTGTATGCTGCTGGAACAAAGATCGTCACACAGGTCCTATGCTAATTGAAGAATACATGCGACCAATTGATGCTCTTCACGACTCACCATCACACGAAGAAAAAAACATTCAAAACTCCGAAATGAGTATAAATAATAAGGACAGTTTACAGTTAGCGCCACAAAACACAATTTCTTTGAATGAAGTGATTACGGACAGTATAAAATGAAGAATATCAAGTAGACTTGTATTGAAATGAATCGAGTCATGACGTACAGCCAAAACAGCTGATCAAATAAGCTTACTAAGCTTATACAAATAAGGCTGTTAACTTTCAGTTTCTTTCAGTGAAAGCGAAAAAGTTAATGTCAAATGCACACGACTGTAGACGATTATTTTTCTCCTTGCTTCCTATATTTTCATACATAAAGTGTTTAATACCAGCTGGCGATTCGGCTACCTCTCCTCACCAAATATGTATTATTTTGCTATACAAGACGTCTATTAAGACAAATAATTTGGCAATTTCGAAAAGTATATGAATCAATTGTAAGTTAAAACCCATATAGTAGTTCTCTCTCATGTATCTTATGAAACTCTTTTGTCCAAACGAGTAACAATGTTATTCTAAAACGGTTGTTATTACGTTTTTGGTATATAAAATATTTGCATAATGGCGTATGTTTTATTAATGCGTTCATTTTTGATCTATGTAATGTTGTGAATGTGCTTAATATAAGAGTCCACTAACCGTTAAATTGGTAATATCAATTCTGGAAATATGTTTATCAAGACTTTTTACGTCAAACGTTACTTCACAGCGAGTCAGGTCTGCCTAGGCCTAACTATGACAGTGCCAGAGACGACTCGGACGTATCAGAACTGTGAATTTACATAAGTTTTTAAATGTTTTAAGAATTGGATACCTGTAACTTGGTATTCACTGCAAATGTTGTTGTTTTGATGTATATAATGATTCAGCATTTTATCAGATTTCGGAATAGTTTTAAAGGTAATGTTGTAAGCATTAAGCAACTTTCTCGACCTAAGCTCAAACACTGTGGTCTACGATATGGAATATCTATAGAATATTGTTAACGATTTGCTTGTGTGATAATTTCTTAAGCCTTGTATATATGTTAAGAGATATAATGCTTTGGTAAAAAAAAGATTTGTGAACATTTTAGAGTTGTATAAAATTGAGGATTCATGAGAATCTTGTAGAACGATTACTGTTTAATTCTTACTAACAAATATTGACACTTGTCAATGAAGTTTCTTGAAGAACTGGACAACTCCATACTGGCATATGTATATATTCAAAGAGCGTTATAGCTGAACACCGTACGATATAGTAAACGTAGTCAGTAATGTTTCTTGTACATAGTTTTGTAAGCTATTGTGAATGTAAGGATTTGTCATCGCGTCTCATTTCCTCTAAAACGCGCTCCGCATTGGGGCCTTGAGTGCGCTATAAGACTGACGGCCAAACCCCACAATTCGGTCAGACAAGAGTAGTTCAAGAGTTGGCAATGGATGCTGTTAGCTAGCTACCTTCCCTCTAGTCTATCAGTTCAAAATTAAGTAACTTGTGTAACTTTGTGTGAAATTTCTAAAACAAACGAACTGTTTTAAAGTAGCATTTCCTGTTGACTTAGAGCCATTTTATGTAAAATAAAGCATTTAACTGGCTCTGCAGTTTCAATAATATATGTCAATAACCGTTATCATAACAAGAATATTTCTAAGAGCGATGCTGTTTGGCGGATGAAAAGAATAGATTGGGACAGTTTTCAGATACTAAGAAAATTAATCTATTAACGTTATCCTACAGATGTAATTTAATTATCTGACAAAAATCCCTTTACCACCTCAAAAGTATTTATTCACCTCATGTAAATGTATTTTACTCAACTAATGATTGGCATGAATTTGTAGTTTTTAAATATATTCCACTTTCAAATGGACGTATTGTTGGTACGGGGGTTTCTTTATGAAATTTTCTGTTACTGATTTTGGCATGGGGTCCTCCATTAATATTGTTTTATTTTTTAAAACAACATATATATTTATGTAGTTATTTAAAAATATATGAAACAATGAATTTTCAACAAAAGCATTTTGCGTGTATTGTCTTTGTTGTGCAGTCTCAAGAATTCAAAGAGAATGAAACAATTAAATAACAACAGCAACAACAAAAAAAATCAGTTGGAAACTTCATACCGAAATATGTCACGTGACTGTAGAGACTGTCGTCAAGTGGATAATCTACTGTAAATAACATAAAGTTCAATTTTTTTTTGTATTGATATAATCTTTGTGTATAAAAAGCAAGATTTTATCGGCTATGAAATATTATGTACGCGTTTTAGCTACAAATACATAACAGAGCCTTTTCTCGCTAACGAGTTACATAATAATAAGATTCATGGCTACCTGAATTCATTCTTTGTGAGAACTTAGTAAAGCTTAGTGTGGCTTTAGATCGTGTAAAAAAAATAGGCACAATAGTGTAATTTTGTAAATGGTTAATTATGACTATGTAAAAACAACAACAAAAGTTTGTCATGGTTGATAAAAAAATAAAACTTTTGGAGAACCAAAATTACAGAGGTTTTAATGTTAAAGGTTAAAGAACAACTCGGTGTCACGGTTATGTTTTTTATTTTTTCTTATCGCACGAGAGAGGAATGTTTGTGCAACTTTTATGTTGTGAATATTTTGTAAAGTTAGTTACTTTATAGATTTAAACTTCGAGGACCTATGAAAAGGCTTATACTCAGTTCACAAATTAAAATTAGTTTGTTTGTAATTAAGCACAAAGCTACACAATGGGCTATCTGTGCTCTGCCCACCACGGGTATCAAAACCCGTATTCTAGCGTTGTAAGTCCGCAGACATACCGCTGTGCCACTGGGGGGCATTGTACCTATGATTCTGCCTTTTTTAATTGTTTCTCAATGAGCTCTCAAGTGCATTGAAACGCTGTAAGTCTACGGATTTACAACGCTAAAATCAGGGTGGTTAGGGCGCTCGACTCGCAATCTACGGGTCGCGGGTTCGTATCCTAGTCCCACGAAACGTGCTCGCCCTTTCAGCAGTGGGGGCGTTATAAAGCTACGGTCAATCCCTTTATTCGTTGGTAAAAGAGTAGCCCATGAGTTGGCGGTGGGTGGTGATGACTAGGTGCCTTTCCTCTAGTCTTTCACTGCTAAATTAGGGACGGCTAGCACAGATTACCCTCGTGTAGCTATGCGCGAAATTCATAACAAACCAAACCATTAAGCTTTGCTATGAAAACACACACTCACCTCACTACTGTGAATTAAGAAAACCGACCAATCCCGAGTCTTCTGACAATATCACTTATTTTTACTGACCATACAGCAGCTTTTTAATACTCTTGTTTCAGCTAAAACCTGTAGTTTTTACATCCTCACCAATAGAGAAATCTGAGCAGAATCATGCCATCCTTTATCATCCCTATATTCTCTCTGCAGTCTTATAGCAAGGCAGAATACTTACCAGTCCTGTCTGTTTGTCACAACTTATTCCTGTATTATCTCCTCGTTCCTATCAATACGAAAAAAAAGGCACAATAGTGTAATTATGTAAATGGTTAATTATTACTTTGTATCATTATTCCTGTGTTATCTCCTCATTCTTATCAATACGATAATTTATCCGTCGTATGTATTGCCTTCGCTCGTCTCCACTTCTATTTCTAACTTCGTTGGACCATATATGTCCTACCATACTTACAAAAACAAAGAATTTTTCATCTATATACCAATACAAAACATACCGTTAAAATATGATATTTTAAACGCCGATTTTCCTGTAGATTCTCAATTCCATATGCACAGCATTTTACATGTAAACTCTTATAATAATTCTGTTCATTCACTAAATAACTCTACAGAAACATCATAAGTCAAACTTAATGAGGCCACTACTGATACTTAGGACGTTCTACGAACTCGACAATACCTAATGAATTACATCTGGATTATTTGAAGACTCGAAAGACAACCGAAGACTAACTTAACAAAGGAATGGTAAGCTCTGCTTGACCAGTGGATCATATGCTCCACACAGTAAACGTTTACAATAATAGTCACTCACTAAATATATTAGATGGTATTTATTATGAAAATTTTATTAACTTGAGCTAAAATAAAACACACGCACTTTATATAATATATATAAACTATTTAATTAAGTGACTATCTGTGGTATCTGTATATACAGCCTACCAATGAGGAGTTAAATGTTCACTTCGGAAAGAACGATGTTTTATTAGATAAGTCATGACAATAGACTTTTACACTGTTATAGGTGAAGAAATTACCACAACAAAATAACTTTCATGGTTTAAATGAAAAAATAACAGAAAAATTACGATACAATTTACTACATGTAGAATCCACAGTAGCCTATTCTTCTGTATGGTTCTGGTAAAAAATAATAACAACATAGGTACAAGGTTACCATTATTGTTTAATGGATCTGCCCTGTTAGGCAGAAACACGGTTAGACATCGCATTTTAAAGATCTATAACTTGAGTCTGTGATATTGAACCTCACTTATGGAAAAAGACTTGGTGTCCCCAAAAGTTGGTTATTTGGAACATTTTACAGGGAATCACCAACGATGGACTATACATGATCTGTAGAGTTTATATCCGTCGATTGTCCTGGCGGTGGGAAAGTGACAATGCCCTGACCTTCAATCCATCGTCTTGTGACTTGGGCTGAACGACCAGGTGCACCATCTTGCATGGAAACACTGTTTTGTCTGGTAAGGTGGTTATCGCGTTGACGGGTAGAAAGAAGGCTTTACTTGAAAACAGTGATGTATCGAGCACCAGCTGCCAAAACGGCACCCCACACCATAACAGAAATACCGCTGTATTTTGTCGTGGCTTGCATATTGTTTAACAAAGGTTCCAGGGAGGATAGTCGCCAAACCCATGTTCGCCCACAGCCCGAGAATTGTGTAATCTGGACTTGTCGGAAGAAACTAGTGTTCCAAAAGGTGGAAGGTGTGTAGAACCTGTGATACTCAGTGCTGTCAACGTATAATATTGCTTGGAATGAGGAGTGTTTTCCATCTGGTTATTTTGCCATTGTATCTCATGCTATGAAGAAAACTTTTGATGATATTGGAGCACATTTGCGCCTGTCCTGCAACAATAGCGACTGTTTCATGTGGGTCATTCTACACACTTCTCCCCACAAGCTATAGTTTATTGGCACGCGGATCATGGAAAAACAATTTTCTTACGTCTCTGGAAACTGTATTGTCCTCACATTCACCTCGTGTAAATACGGTTAATTCCCTGTATCCTTTGTTCGAAGCATGGTATTTTGTGATCTTTCCCTAGGTGTAACTGTATTGATATGTCGTGTTATTTGCGTATGACGTCATAGAGGTGGTTGATGTGTGTTATTGGGGGGCGTCTATTTACTTACTGGTGGTCTGTATTTATATATTCACTACAGACAAGTCTCAGCCCTTTCAGTCAAGTTCTTTTTAGATAATGAACCTGAAGTAACAGACACATTGACATTCATAAAATAATTCGATATAATCTACCGAGTCACTTTCTAATTTCAGGGGAAAAAAAAACCTGCACGATAGTCTTTGATACAAGTAGTCTCTCACATTTTATGAGAACTGTATATAAGCTTCACTGAATGAATAGGACTTATTTCTCCGAGGTAGTAAAGAAAATATTTCATTCAAAACCAAACACACATAGGGGCACATTTTGGCTCAAAGCAGCGTACCTGCCACACACTTAATGGTGAACTATTTAACAAATTATTGTTTTAGTAACAAAGAAAAATGCGGTTCTCACCGCTAATACTGCGATAGTTATATAAATAAAAAAAATTATAGTTTTTCTTATTGTTTGTTTGTTGAATTTCGCGAAAAGCTACACGAGGACTATCTGCGCTCGCCGTCCCCAATTTAGAAGTGATAGACTAGAGGGAAGGAAGCTAGTCAACATCACACACAGCCAACTCTTTTACTAAAGAAAAGTGGGATTGACCATCATATTAAAATGTTCTAATGACTGAAAGGGCGAGCATATTTGCTAACAGGATTCGAACCCGCAATCTGTAGTTTGCAAGTCGAGTTGTTGATAGGGTTGTTGCCTTGAAATTTGGTCAAAATCATATTTTATTTTTACTAAAGTAATCTTACTTCGGTGATGTAACATGTTCTATCATTCGGTGAATTATTTTGGACTATTTGGTAAAAATAATGTCAATTCCAATCCACGTAACAATAACGAATTAACTTATTTTTTCAATAAGCATTTGCTACAACTTCGTTCACTAGTAGGCTTAATTTCGTAAATAAAATTTTCAACAACACATAAAATCCGAAACTAATGTAGACTTAACTTCAAATACAACAGAAGTTCCGAGATTAATGGTAGTTGTGCATAATTTACTTAGTTTAGTTTGATAAATAAACATGCTAACTCACTGAGTAACCAAACAGAATATACACATCTCTCACTTCTAACACTGATTAACCTTTCTGATACTGATTGAACAGACTCAATCGTCACTGATTATATTGTACCCTTGTTTCTATATATTACAAGAAGCTTCTCGATTCTTAAGTTTCATACTCATTCCAGATCTTAAAATCATGCGTCCTCTAGAAATATCTAAATTAAAACATTGAAAATAAAGCTTACAACAGTATTTGTGTGACTTTTCAATTGCTAGAATTAGAAAAAAAAAGGAAGCTTCAAAAAGAGTAAGTAATAGTAATAATAACCAATATAACATTTCTATTACGCGTTTTATCGCTGAGAGTGTTATTTTAAGTTATTTAGTAAAACTAATGCCATATAAAGATAGCATTTCTTCAATAAACTTCGCTGTAGCAACGTTCATTTTTAGGCCTAAAGTAACAAATAAACCCAGAAACTAATGTAAGCCCAACTTCTCAAATATAATCTAAAGTGAAACTCCAGGACTAATATTATGTATGCCTAACTTACTTGTAGCACTCCTCGGTTAATCGATCGAGTAACTAAATAACTCTCACTTCTAATACTGAATAAACGCAATCATCATTGATTAGATATATTTATAACTAGCCTTGTTTCTGCATATCATACACAGCTATATTCTTAACTTTCTAGATCTTAAAGTCATGCACCCTCTAGCAAACATCCAAACTAAAACATCGAAAATATAACTTACATCAATAATAAAAAAAGAAAAACAATATCAACAAATCACCATGATTTACGCAGCCATACATAGTCTTGAAGTTTATTTGGTGCTGCCACCTAGTGACAGCCGTTTAAATCATTTCTCGTCTTTGGTATATTGAAATAAATGATATAAAATCATACATGTACATTGCATATCGATTTAACTAGAATATTGTAACTAACTGTTATCGTCAACCAATCCACGTATAATCTAGATTATAGTCTTTACAATTCTATTGGTGCAAAAAAAAGCTTGACGATAATTTTACTGTGGGCGAATAAAGGGAACATAACATTAAAGGACAGCAACCGGTTCAAAAGGCTAACCACCCTGTCAAAAAATAAAACTGTCTTAGCTGAAGATGACTTCTTTCTTCTCAAAATTTATGCTTGTGTCTCCTATCCTTACCATTAAATATGAAAAAAAAAATGATGCAACAATATCTGGTATGACAACATTTCAGGTGTCATCTTAGTAGTTCTTCTCTGAACACTTTCCAACAATTCAAAGTTCTTTCTGAGGTAAAGAGTTCAATACTGAACACACAACAGTCCAAATGTGGTCTAATTAATGACGTATACAATGATATTATAACCACTTTAAGATTTGTATTCAGTGTTTCTGTAGATACAACCTAAAGTCATATTTGCTCTGCCACTAGCACATTGTTTGGATGGCTTAAGAGACTGATGAACCAGAACAGAAAGACTTTTTCCCATAACACTATTAAGGTTATTCCCATTAAAATTATGCTCATAATTCAAATTGTGATATCCCACATTCAGTATTTTGCATTTATTATAATTAAAATCCGTTTGTCATTTATTTGGCCCTCACCAAATAACCCAAATCCTTTGTAAAGCAGTAGCATTCTCCCCACAGCTGCAATACCCAAAACTTTAATGTCATCAGCACATTTAACTAATTTATTGACCATTTCTTCATCTACGTCATTAATGTAAATAAAAAAAGATCAAAGGTTCTAACACTGGGCCCTGAGGTATCCCACTTGTGACATTAACCCAGTTTCGACTGAACACTATTTTACCAACCCTCTGCTTTCTTTCGTCTAGCCAATTTTCTATCCAGTGAGCTGACCTATCCTCCACACACAGAGATAACTTTTTAACAACCCTTTTATGGGTCGCCCTAAACTGTGAAGCATAATTTTAAATATAAACGGGTAATACAAAATTAGGAGGAAACATAGGCGTTATGAAGCAACAGGGATATGAAGGTAGGACATTGTTTGTTTGTTTTTATTTATGATACGCTATTTTTGCTGTGTCCACCACAGGGATCGAATGCCGATTAATATTTAATCATGTTTTTTTTCTTTCTTAATCAATAAAAAATGTTGCCTTTTTTATGCTAGAAAAAATAACATTTAATTGCCACCAGGTGGCATGATTTAATACTTTGTTTTAGCTTCTTTTATTAAAATTATAGAATAAAATGAAATTTCACATCTAGGTTACAAACGAGAAAACATTACATTACATTAGATAGAAAATCTAGATCATAGTTTATAAGTCAAAATAACGATTATTCAAAGAATGAGGGGTAAAATGTAACATTTTATTGCAACACTTATAATCACTCCATACAGCATATGCTTCTTAGATTTCAATTTTTCATTAGCTTATCAAAGTTTAACAAGAATCACCTTTAATATAAGTTTCTTTATAAACTTCTATATCAATTCAGCTGATCTGAAAAGCTAACACAATCAGTACAAATGTTTTCAGTTACCAACTAAACAATATATGACTAACAATAAAATTTTAAAATGTAGGTGGCTACATAATTGTTGTTAATAATGTCTAAAACTTTTCTAATGATTAAGTATTTAAATTAATTCTGTTTTCACATAAATTGTCTTTTTTTATACAGGGTTCAGTTAATTAAACTGTTTCTAGCTCATAACACTGCCCTCATACAGGAAGCTTTATAAAATAAGACTCTAAACAAAATGTCTGCAAAACATGAAATATAATAGTCCAGTAAAACATATACATCTTGGAATTAAAATTCACCTATGTCAACCAATGTTTCCAACAACAACAACCAGCAATAAAATATTTTTCCTCACTACCCTAATTTACACATAGGTTTGTAAAACAAGCCTAATCACATATACTGTGCATGAACATTCAAGATTAAAAAACTTATTCAAGTTCTAGTACTAATTTTAAGTTTTCAAGAAATTTTTAAAATAATTTTTTGGAGCAAAATGTAAATCTTTACCACATTATTTGGGTATTTCTTTACAACATTCGCTAATGTGGAAACAATCTTGATTATCATCTGGAAAATAAGAATCTTTGATAAATCTATAATCAATATCGGCAATTACACTTAAGGTCTTGTTTCCATGGAAATTTTAATACAGATACTATAACCAGAAAAGTTTAGCTTATCAATCAGATATTATAGTTTTGATCAATGTTTTAATGAAAATTTGCATTATAACTTCTAACAACCAAAAAATTATTTTGTTCCCCCACTTGTTCCCTGGAGTCAACCAATTCATAGTGAGGTATGACTTCCACCTCTAGGAAAAGAAACCACAACAACAAATGACTCTATAATGTTCTAGGTAAAGAAACCATGACAACAAATGACTCTATGATGTTCTAGGTAAAGAAACCATGACAACAGATTACTCTATAACGTTCAAGGTAAAGAAACCATGACAACAGATTACTCTATAACGTTCAAGGTAAAGAAACCATGACAACAAATCACTCTATAATGTTCAAGGTAAAGAAACCATGACAACAAACCTTTACATTGTTGTAGGTTAAGAAATTATCCCAACATAATAATTTACAAGAAAATATTCCTATACAACTTACTACATGTAGAATCCATAGTAGCTAATTTGTCTGCAGTGTTCTAGGTAACAACTACTAATCACAAGCTCTTAAACAGTATTCTATTTAAGAGCTATGGGAACTTATGACATACTATGCAAAGAAATCAAGGTAGCTAGCTCTTTTGCACAGTTCATATTAGAGACATTATTAGAACTATATATATATATCGTTATAGCAAAGAAACTATGGTAACAAGATCTTTTACAATGTTTTAGTAGATACAACATGGTTCAAAAATTGCCTTTACAATGGTCTAATTGACCTTGGTAATTTTAGATGTCTCATAATTCTTTCTTAGATCTTGAAATAGGTAGGTTTTTTACAGCAAAAATCTTAAGTAAAAGAAAAATTATTAAAATAGTTACTAAGTTTAGGTTTTATTTTTTAATGTTTTTTTACCTGTTGAAAAAATATTCAAACACTAGTTTCCCCTCACCTTTATATCTACAATAAGGACATATTTTTCTGAATTAACACAAATGGAATGTTTTAGCATAAAACATTTGTTCAACTACAACATTTGTTTTGTTAGAGACAAAATTAAAAGTAATTTCCACAGTAACACTGTACCTTTAATTGAAAAGGCTAGGGTGGTAGAAAAAAAAAGGTTAATACTAAAAATATTTTGGAACTTTTCTTTGAAAGAAGCTAATTATGTTCCTGAAAGTTTAGTCAAAATATTTCAAAACCACTTGGTGATAAAAACTGCTTAACTTTAAAATTTTTGTCACTTTCACTTGCTGTTAAAATTTAACTGAATCAAAGCATTGAAAGAAAAATAACGACAAACACTTTGTAATGGTCAGGATGTGAGTTGTCTGCACTGGTGCAAGCTGATCTTGGTTCAGGTTTTAATCAGGGCAAAGTCCTTAATGTTCTCATTAGTTACAATTTCATTTCTAACTTAAGAGGCATTAATCAGATATGTTGAAGATTTCAACATCTCATCTTCTGTTGTTGAAAATCCCATCTTCTCATGAAAATTAAATCGTTTTTGCTCCAAGCTTTTACACGGCATTCAACTTCATTCACACACACACAAATTTACATCCACGCACACACACATACACATAGGAAGAACATTAAGTAAACAGACTAAGACACACAGAAGATAAAAATTAAGAAGACTCACCACAAATGTTCAATACATTTCATGGGAGCTTGCTAATCTACACGGTTACAAGTAAATAAAATTACAAGAAAGAATGCTCTCACAAGTTGTAGTAAAACACTAAGATTTTTTAAACAGGAAAAATATCAACAGATAGATTTGGATATGTTATTTAGCTCACTTTGCAAGTTCACAAGTCCCTTACAACATAACTAAGGTACGAGAATGGTCAACCTAGTTGTACATGGTATTGCAATATCGCTAAGAGTGGTGGAAGATGTAGAGAATCGCTACAGAGTGCTTATCACAATCTACTTATTCATTTTTACAAAGCAAAGCTCTACAGCAGAACTGAAACCAATGTCTAAAGGTGCTATTAAGTAATGTGCCAATAAATATTTTTCCTAAGAAATACAATTATATTTTCTAACAGTTACAAAGATGTAATCAAAAGATAATCTAAAACTCGTTATGGCACTTTCTATTACATAATTCATTATATAATTAACAAAAATATTTTTCTAAATCAAATATATGTAGGCAGCAACAGAGAAAAATAAAACAGCTTGATGTAAAGCAAGCAATAAAATATGCAAACTAATGTATCAAAAATTTTCTCTTTCAGCATGATACGCTTCTGGTTTAAAGGTACATGTATTCACTTATGCATCATAGGTGGTGTATCAACAAGAGGGGCAGGGAGTAGCAGGGGGAACAGTAGAAGAAACTAAAGTTAGAATGACATATTTGAGTCATCCCACTCAAGCTCTCGCTCCTTAACTTTCTCAGTTTCTTCCTCAGAACTCTCCCCATCATGATAGTTACTACCATCATCAGAATCACTATCATCATCCTCTTGAACGGGTTGAGTTTCTTTCTGCTCTAGAATTTGCTGAAAAAAAAAACAAAAAGAAATAAAAATTACTCTTCCAAATGAAAGGGCATAGAATGAAAAACCTTGATTGTAAATTCTGAATTTCTCTTGAAATGCATTCTTCTCAATGTTAAAACATCAGATGAGGTATAATAACAATTGGATACTTGCCTTCCTGTATCATTCCTCAAAGATCTTACTCCCATCCTCATATTTTGCTTACCCTTAATGTATTTGAAGAAATCCTTACATTACTATCAATTTTTTTATTTTCAGCCAACCTCTTTTCATATAGTTTTTAATTTCCCACTTGACCTACTTTCCTGATCTTCTATAATCCTCTAAATCTCCCATCATTGCAGTCAATTTAAATTTCTGATATTTATAATGTTTTTCTTTAATTTTATCCTTTATACCCTTTGTAATCCTACCTGGTTTTTCTTGCAGCCATTTTTTTTTCTGTAATATACTATACAGAACTAACAGCTAGTACAGAGTCACTTTACACTTACACACTCATGGAAATGCAACTATATATACCAGTCACTGTTTACATTCATTAACTTAATAACTATCTATAATGTCACTGTATTTGTACCTATCAGTGAGTTGTAACCAATTACAAAACTAAAATGTTACAACTTAATACTTATAACCAAGCTACTGAAGTTTATCTGTTTGAAACAACAAACGAATACTACTGTACCTCATCTGTCTGATAAACAAATGTAGAATTATAGCCACTTATGACATCAAGGTACTTGCATTCAAGTCCAAAGTTATAGTACTTACATCCATGGGATTGACAGTGATTGTGAGGGATGTGTCATCCCAAGCCATCTCTTGCTCATCATCTCGTGAATCCTGAGATTGATGGTGAGCTGCACGGATACGGATAACTCCTAGTACAATCATGAAGACGAGGAAGCCAACACAAACCACTATAATGATGGTCATGGCATTACCTGTTTAAAAAAACAACAAATATAACTGGTTTATACACAATTACTAATTTTATATTAAACTGAGTGACCATAAGAACAAACAACAGGCTCAAAAATCTTGATTGGGTGACTTAAGTACTATCTTAATACTTTCTAAATTTTATTAGGATGACAAGTATTATTTCACAGTCTTAAATTTTTAATAATTATTCATTAAATTGGAACATTTTATGGACTGCATATGTTAATATGTTCTTTCAACCCCAGTACAAACTTAATTTTGACAACTTACTAGCAGAAGTCTTGGTTACAGTTTCTCCACTGTCCAGATGTTTGTCATTCATGTTGTCTGACTTGACTTGAGGAACTTGACTATCTACCATGTGCTGGTTAACTTGGGCATGAGCAAATGATACAGGATTGAGCTGATTTTCTATCTCATGACTAGGTTCTGCACGTGGATGAATTACCGTTAACTAAAAAGATAAAAATTCAAAGGTCGGCTTAATTTATAAAATTAGTAGACTGGCCATATTTACTTCCTTCTCAATCAGGTCAACGAAGTATCTTTACAATAGGTTTTGCTAAAATGTTTTCAAAATTAAATCTTGATGCTCAACCTCTTGCTCTTTGGTAGAGGTAAAAGAAATTAATGTAGAAATTTCAGGCTTTCAAGCACCTTTTGATGAATTTGTAAATATAAATTGTAGCTATAAACATATAAAAATACTGATAAGTTTAGTGTACTTTAAAAGAGTTTTGGAAATTAATTTAAATTAAATTTTGAAATTAAAAGGAAATCATACCTTTTCTGATTTCATATCTCAGTCTCCTAATTTACTGTTACAGGCAAAGACAAAATAATACCTATTATTGGTTTAATTACATTCCGATACCCAGTGTCAAGCACCAGCTACCTTCTTCTTCCTGACTACAACGCATTCACAAGATTTTCATAAATAAGGGAGTTAGTTTTGCAGTATTATATCACAAGTGTGATTATTCATGTCGCAGGTGCTATATACAGTGTGTGGATCTGTGTATTTGGAAACACGAGCTACACAATACTTAACAATGAATACAAGGATATAATGCATGATCTGTTTTTCCACTAAATATTGATTTACTTTTATTACTGGGTATAACAACAACAAAAAAAAAAAGACTGGTTTGGTGCCCTTTTTTTTTGTATACATACATACATTATGAATTTCATATTCTGAAAAAGGGTGGAGGTGATTCTTTGCATCCATGAGCCCCCCCCCCCATTCCTCCCATAGTATGAATGTTTTTTATGAAAACATAACTTTTTATACATGATGTTACTGATTCGCTATGTAATTATTCAGGAATCATTCTTTCTTTACAACCTACATGATTAATATATTGCTGTGATCATAAAAAAACATGTGTGCCATCTAAGACTAATGTCTTGACAAATTCCTTGCTTTCCCTTATAGTTATACACTCCCTCCGACTTTATGTGAAAACTTATAGAATTTTGATTCAACTAAAAGTTGCAAGAAATGCTCCAAAAAAAAGCCTTATTTAGTTTTGTAATTACTGTGATGAAGTTATTGCACTTACAATCCTAACAAAGTGTGAAAAAATACCCCAAAAGAATTAAATAATATATCTATGTACGAGTTGTGGTACAATATCAGTATGCATTTAGTCCTAGTGACAGACAGAGTACAAGAAGCACATTAAGTTTATTTTACGGGGACAAAGTATTAGGTCGTCAAGAAATTAACGTCGCTTTTTTTAAATGGAAAAACCCAAACAACTTATATATCAAAACAAAACATTTATTAAATGAAATACTCTCCATTCTTATCGATGATGCTTCTTCATCTTACAATCAGGTTTCTAATGCCCTGATTAAAGAAATCACTTGGCTTTGAAGTAAAAACATGTCGATGTCCTCTTTAACACCTTCCACTTGCATACGTTTTCCCATTAAGATGTCGTTGCACCAAACAAAAAAGATGGTAATCTGATGGTGCCATATTTGGAGAGTATGGTGGGTGGGGGAGAACTTCCGTAACCAACTCCATAATCTTGTGTTGCGTCAAACGTGCCACATGTGGATGTGCATTGTTGTGGAGAAGAAGAACACCTTTCCGATTGATGAATGAAGGGCGTTTCTGATGAAGGGCTTGATTTAAATGTTCCAGTTGCTGACTATAGATCTCTGCATTGACAGTTCGCTGTGGATTGAGGAGTTCGAAATGAATTACTCCTTTGATGTCCCACCAAATGCAAAGCATCACTTTCTGCGGATGGAGTCGAGGTTTTGGGATCGGAAGTGGTTTTTAT